TCGAACAAAGCACGCCTCCCCTTAATCGAGGCTCGACTCCTTTGGATCATCCAACACCTCCCCTCGAACAAAGCACGCCTCCCCTTAATCGAGGCTCGACTCCTTTGGAGTCTTAGTCATTTTTGACTGCCTTCGTACTTTCATCATCCAACACCTCCCATCGAACAAAGCACGCCTCCCCTTAATCGAGGCTCGACTCCTTTGGATCATCCAACACCTCCCCTCGAACAAAGCACGCCTCCCCTTAATCGAGGCTCGACTCCTTTGGATCATCCAACACCTCCCCTCGAACAAAGCACGCCTCCCCTTAATCGAGGCTCGACTCCTTTGGATCATCCAACACCTCCCCTCGAACAAAGCACGCCTCCCCTTAATCGAGGCTCGACTCCTTTGGAGTCTTAGTCATTTTTGACTGCCTTCGTACCTTCGAGGAGGCTTGACTCCTTTTGGAGTCCTTTGTTCGACATTTAAGGATTTGCCAATCTATTGGCACGGCTAAGTTTAGGGCATGACTCTGATACCATGTTAGACGAACACGACTCTCCATAGACGAACACGACTCTCCACAATGGTATGATATTGTCCACTTTGAGCATAAGCTCTCATGGCTTTGCTTTGGGCTTCCCAAAAGGCCTCATACCAATGGAGTTAGTATTCCTCACTTATAAACCCATGATCATTCCCTAAATTAGCCGATGTGGGACTTTCATCATCCAACAGTAAGATCCCACATTGTTTGGGAAGGAGAATGAAATATTTACAAGAGTGTGGAAACCTCTCACTCGTAAACGCATTTTAAAAACCATAAGGTCGACACGTAATGGGTTAAAATAGACAATATTTACTCACGTTAGGCTATTATAGCTACCCTAAAAAAAATACTTAATTTACACCGTTATCTTGCAATTTGTTCCATAGTTATCAGTTATATTTGATTTTTAAAAAACTTTATCGTATTTTTGTAACGTCAATGACAATAATGATTTGATATAAAATCGAAACCGACCATAATCGACGGGTAGGAACAAATGGCAACCAACCAACCAACGAGATTTGATGGACCTTGAATCGAACCTCAATCGTAGAAAAATAAGATTTCCAAACGTGTTAGAGACGGATTTGCTTCGAATTTTGGTGACCAGAATAATTCATATTTTTTCTATTTTCTATTTTCTTTTTAATTTATAGATTACAATATTAAGTATGCTTATATTTTTCCATTACAAGTGATTATTTTTTTTTAATTTAAAAATTATAACGATGAAAAATTAAATACATTTAAAATGATAATGGATATAAATTTAAGGATTAAAATAAAATAAAAAAAGGACAAATTAATAATTATTTGGTATAATTTAACCTTTAGAGCTTTAAAATAAAAATAGAAAAAAAAAACTGCATAATAATGCTATATATAGAGCCAAATTCAAATTTCCCGTTTGTTTGTAACAGTTCACGCGGTTTAGAGAGAGAGAGAGAGAGAGAGAGAGAGAGAGCAGGAACAGAACAGAAACCCTATTTCTGCACGATGAAGACGACGGTGGAAGAAGACGATCCGGCGAAGATTTTCATTTCCCGCGATGTTCTTTCTTTCTGAGATTAAAACCCCTTCCCTCCAAACTGAAAATTTTCTGTAAGAATCCAAAAATAGCTGGATTCC